AAAATTTTGAGGGATTTCAAGCAATGTGATAGATCTAAATGATCTAAAAAAAATATCCGAGTAAAAAACTGTCAAAGCCGAAGAAAAAAACCATTAATTTTTTAGTTTTTTACCCTAAAATTCTATTATTTTTCCGTTGTTTACATCTTTAAGCTCAACATTAAGATCGGTCGGAAGTTGGGGCAGATTATGTAAATATTTATCATACGTATAAATATTTATCATATATTATTATTAAACAGAATTTTTTGAAAGCTTGTAACAGAATTAAATAATAGAAATAATACTTAAAGGTACAGAATTTTGTTTTAGACATTAAATAAGTTTCCTTGAAGATATAATTTCAGAGAAAATATATAATTTTAGAGAAGCGAAATATTATAATGAACTTGCTGCCATTCAGAATTTATAAGTTTTTAAATAAATATTATTAAAGACTATATTAAAAAAATTAGTAATAATAAATAAAATATATCGCTCGACAGCACAGCAAAACAATATATGTATAATAAACGACCAGTAACGAACATATTCAAATCTTAGATTAAAATATATTTAAAATAAGAACTGTATAATAAAAACGTGTCGCCTCTACAGAGCTTTCATCAGTTTATAACGCAATTTATGTCTTATACACTACTCAGAGAGTTTTTATTATATAGTCCTTATTTTAAATATATTTTAATCAAAGATTTGAATGGCTCGTTATTGGTCGTTTATTATATATTAAAAGAAAGATATTATTATCGAATTTTTCAGTTATGCAGTATGTAGCCGCAACAGGGTACAACGCATGGCTATTTCTACCGGATATCCTCGATATTATATCACCCATAAATGAATCCCGACCACGAATACTACCTTTTAAAGCTGAATTCTTTATCGATCAAGGACAATACTTTAACCTCATTCGGTCCCATATATGTATCGTGATTTTTATAATATCATTAATTCTTGTTACCGTTTCCACTTTGTATGTGGTTCTTACGCAACATGTTTGCGGAATGTGCGAGTTGTTGGGGTAAGAAATTGCTCCTCGCATTATTTGCAAAACACACACACAGCAAATAATTCTATACTAGAAAACTCATTACTAGAAAACGCGCAGTTTATCCATTAACTTTTAAATCTGAACAATTTGCAGATTTGCATATGATACAATGAAAGAAATATTTATTGAATTTTATTAAAAATATTTGTCTAAATAGTACTAACGAAATTCTTACAGTAAATGAACATTCATTTAAAATAAAAAAATTATATTTAAATTAAA